AGATGGGGGAGAGGGTGATCTCGTGGAGGTGCCTCTGCCTCCTATCTAGGGAGGATTTTGCAGGTAGCTTCCTGTGGCCCATGGAGTCAGCTCTGATGATGCTGCAGCCCTCTGCTGCCCGCTGCCCCCAGCAGTGAGAGGACCTGCCTTCTAGTGTCAGGGGGGTAGGCAAGGGTAGGGCATGGAAAGGATGAGATGAACATGGAAATGTGTCAGTGTGGCATGGCTTGGGCGGACTAATTTGATGTTAAATTAGATGAAGTGGAGTGTGGGCGTCATCTGGGAGCTCAAAGGCCCTTACGGAGAAGGCAGGGGCTGCTGTGCTGCAGGACTCACCCAAGATGGGAGAAGATTCAAGGTGGGCTTGCCTCGCACAGTGAATGGTGGGAAAAGCTGTCAGTGGCCCAAGCAGCTGTCTCTGCTCACTGCCAGCAAACTGTTACCATTCTGCAAGGAATCTGTTTTGAGTAGCTGACAATCTTGCAGGGGTGGAGAATAAAAAAGGAAAGACCAGTTATCTCTGCCTGGTACAGGAGTGAAGCAGATAACATGCTATTCTTCCAAAACAAGCACTCGGAAGCTGCTCAAGTATAACCCTGTAGAGAAGTGTTTTGCCCAGCCCAGCTCTTCCCAGCTTCTTTGTCTGGGCTGCTGCTTGGCTTTCTGTGTATCTCACTGCAGCTGTGTTTAGAGGTGGCATCTGGCACTTTTGTATTGCAGACGTGTCATGGCACTTTGGGCCACACTGCAGCTCCTTCTGGGAACAGGAGATTTGTCAGAAACTGGCATCTTCTTGCACTTGTAAGCTGAGGAGACCCTTGTCTCCTACACAGAATTCGCAGAGCTGCCTTCTCCGACACCTGTGAAAGGAGGCAAGTCTAGCTTTTTGCCAGCTGCGCCAGAACAAGGTATCTAAACCCTGGATGCAAAATGCTATGAAAACCATGTTTCCTCCCCTTGTCTGACCATGAGCTCTGCCTTCATTGCGGTGCTTTCTCCTCTCCTTGGTCCCCCTGCTCCACCTTCGGCCCTGGAGAGTGGACATAGCACTCAGATTGTCTCTCTCAGGAACAAATATGGCATTGTGTCTAGTAGAATGAAGAGTGGAGATGGTTGAAGTACCAGATGAGGAGTGAATAAGCCAACCCTTTCCTTCCAGGAACGTGGATGGAGGAGGTGGAGAAGTGGCTTGAAAACCTGCTGCTTTACAAGGAAGAGACTTGTAGCTGTAGACCTAGGCCCCTTCTGTCCTGTCATGCAAGCACAGGAGCTGAGCAAAGATGCTGGGCCAGGACTGCTGATGGAAAAGAGCTACCCAGTGGCCTGTGTCTGGTTCTTACATTGTCCTGACACCAGTGGAAGGGCAGATCTGGGCAAGCTGCGTGAAGGCAGACTGCACTGGGGACCTGCCTGGGGGGATATATGTTTCTGTAGTCCTTTTAGTACCTATGCATTCGATATTTGGCCTGCATTTATACATAACACAGCATTTGGTGTGTTGAGAGCTCTGATGGAGATCTTTCCTCTGCAAGTATCTTCTTACAGGTGCCATATCTTGCACTGTCTAATAGCTGACATCTGTCAGAGCCCTGGCCATGCTGTTCTCATTAACGGCCAGCTGGAAGATCATCTCTTGCTGAGGAACCACATCTTGTCTACTGCACAGCTTGTAGCAGACAAGCTGTACACACAGGGGCTCATTTTACTTAGTGAAGATGTGAGCTTTTTCAGTTGTAGATTGTCAAGGTTCAGTATTGTTCGGTGACACCGTGCCCTTGGTTTTCTCCAGCTCAGCCTCCTGTTCAGAGCAGGACTATTATGAACATTAGATCAAGGAAGATATGGCTCTAATCAAGTAGTGAAAGGATTTCCAGGGATGGAGACCTGTCACCACTCGAGCAACCTCTTGTGCAGAAGAATCCTCCAGACTCCTTCCAAACGAGTTTTTCCCAATGTCCATGTGTCTGCTTTATTTGTGATCAATGTCTCCCACTATACCAGATGCAGTCTGCTGATGCTGCACCTATTCAGGCTGCTTTTTGCCATATTTAATCCAAGAGTTTTTTCTTTTAATATTATGCTTTCTGCTGTGGCTGCAGTCATGTCAAGAGAGACATTGTTCCACTGGGATTGTCTTTGCCAATTTTATGATATTCACAGTCATATCTTGCCCTGCTGTTCAAATTGTAGGTGCTTTTAAGTGCATTCTTGTGGCAGCTGAACGTTACAAACTGAAATAGGAGAAAGCTGTCTTTCCTTAGCACCATCCAAACTTAGGTGTTTAATTCCTTTTATTTCCTCTATTCCTTATTCTCTGTTAATGGGTAGTCTGCATGGGATGTCCGTATCTTGGTGTGCATTCTTGCTCTTTGTAGAAATGGTATCCTAATAATTAATATCTCCCGTGTACCTGGCAAGTCCTTTCTGCAGAGGAGCCTTGAACGTCCAGACCACACATTCTCTCCCGCCTCAAGAGCAGTTTAGCTGGAAGTTCCTTGGAGGCAGGCAATTAATTTTCTTTTGGAAAGATAATGTTCCTGTTGTAAGAAGGAACTGCTGTATCCATACAAAACAGTGACTTTTTTTCCCCCAGTGTGAGTAAACCTGACCACTAAAGCTGTAATGAGCGTGAAGATTGTGTTTGAGTATGCTGCACCTCTGGGGCTGTTTGGGGAGCTAGCCAGCTTTCTTTCTGCCTGTGAACATCCCTTCTTCCAAGACTAGCTTCCCAGGATCACTGCTTTAATGTTTAAAATAACTTGCATTTCTTTGTTTTCGTTTGGGATAGGTAGCCTTCACTGTATCAGAGATCCTTTGTACCTAATGTTTTTGCACAAGAAATTTAATCGGCTAAGAATAAGAACAAATGCAGGGTTAACATAAGTAAAACATGCCAAAGTATAAGTGAGCAACAAAAATGACTGTGAAAGCAAGTGGCGCTCTGCCCAGCCTGATTTTTTCAGACATGTGTATTTGTCCATGGTGGGGTTGGCTCTGAGCTGTTCCAGTTGATTGGGAGGAGACAGGGAATAGGACAGGACTTGTGTCCTGGCACTGTTCACAGCCCAGATCTTCCAGTGTGACGTGGGATGTGAGCTTTGTGGATCTTTGTGTTGATGGATACTTGTAAAGCTCCAGTTCAACTGCCCAGGGTCAAACAATACAGATTCCTAGTATTTAATAGTCATCCCAGGAGGACTCAAGACCATGCCAGCAACAAGGACATTTTGGTTTAGAATTGCTTAGAACCCTGCTTGTCAGGTGATGATGCACTTGGCTTCCTGCCATTGAGTGCATACTCGCTTTCAAACACCCATATGAGTGAGCAGTCTAAGTCTTTCTCAAAACCTGCTTGGCTGGGTTCCCCCATCAAGCTGGAGTCCCATTTATCCAGCGTCCAAATGCATGTTAAACAGATGGATATGAGGCAAAACCAAGCCCTCTCCCAGTCTTTGCCCATATTCACAGCTGATTGTGTGAGGCTCTCTTTTACCCGTAACCTTCTTGCCTGGTCTGCATTTCTTTTCCTTTGGCCAGTAGGATCTTCTTACCATACCTGCCCTGTGCCTTTTACTGTCCAGGTCTTGTGGAAATACGAGTTAAAAGTCTGAATTGTCTTTTCTACCCAACACTGCTGGTTTCCTATTTGAAATCAGTTGCATCACTTCCGTTAAGCTTCACTGCTCTCTGTGGGAAGGGATTCTTGTATTTAGCATGCTTTGTGTGTCTCATTTAAACACCATTTAAAATGCTGTCTGTCAAAGGACTGTGGTGCAGTCATGCAGAATATCGTTGTCAGTGGGAAAAAAAAACCAAGAGGTGACTGTAACTATTCCTATGATCATAGAATCATAGAATGGTTTGAATTGGAAGGGACCTCAAAGATAACCTAGTTCCAACCCCCCTGCCATGGCAGGGGAACCTCCCCCCACACCACGAAGGCTCCATCCAGCCTGGTCTTGAACACTGCCAGGGATGGAGCATCCACAACTTCCTTAGGCAACCTGTGCCAGTGTCTCACTACCCTCAGGGTGAAGAACTTTTTCCTTGTATCTAGTCTAAACCTGCTCTCTCCCAGCTTCCAACCATTATCCCTCATCCTGTCACTGCAGGCCCTTGTAAAAAGTCCCTCCCCAGCCTTCTTGTAGGCCCCCTTCAGGTACTGGAAGGTCGCTGGAAGGTCTTGCTGGAGCCTTCTCTTTTCCAGGCTGAACAAGCCCAACCCTCTCATCCTGTCCTAAGAAGCCTCTGACCATCTTGGTAGCCCTCCTCTGGAGTGTCTCCAACAGCTCCATGTCTTTCTTGTGTTGGGGGCTCCAGAGCTGGGTGCATGGATGCAGTACTCCAGGTGGGGTCTCACAAGGGCAGAGGGGCAGAATCACCCCCTTCGACCTGCTGGCCACACTTCTCTTGATGCAGCCCACAATACGGTTGGCTTTCTGGGCTGCAGGCACACAGTGTTGGCTCATGTTCAGTCATGTTTGACATGATCTGTCAACTTTTTTTTTTCCTTCATGTAAGCAAAATTTAGACTTGTCTTTGGTCCTAAACCATCTGAGGGCTAAACAAAGCATGCATCCAGACTGGCTCGTTCACTTGCCATCTTTCAGGCTTTCCTCATCTGAGATGTTTTATCTTTCATGATTCCTGAGCTCTGTGCTACCAGGATTCATCTTCTCTTAAACTTGCTGACATGTGGCCCTGCCCCAGTGATAGGGACTGGTGGTGCATGCGCAGCATATGTGGCTGGTGGTGGAGAGAACTATCTTCTTCCCTGCATTCTCCTCTCAGGGATGTGCAGTGAGTGCAGAGACAGGTCATGCCAAAGGGGTGAAGACGAGCAGAGAAAAACACGGCTACTGCTCACTGGCCGAGCGTTGGTGTGAGAAGCCCAAATGGGGAGGGTGCATCTGTGCTGGGGAGAGGGGAGTGGGGGTCTGCAAGCCTTGCTGGAATGTCTGGTCCTTATGTCATGGGGCGTTGTGCTTCTCCACTTGCAGATGTCGTGGCACCCACAGTACCGCAGCTCGAAGTTCCGCCATGTCTACGGCAAAGCCGCCAGCAAGGAGAAGTGCTACGACTGTGTGCCCATCACCCGTAATGTCCACGACAACCATTTCTGTGCTGTGAACCCCCACTTCATTGCGGTGGTGACCGAGTGTGCAGGTGGGGGGGCCTTCCTCGTCATTCCCATCCACCAGGTGAGCTCCGCTGAGATGAGCTGGCTTTCAAGAACATGTCAAGAGGCTGAAGGAGAACCGGGCTTTCTGGGGAGCTAGATTGTGCAGAGGATACTCAGTTAATGCTGTTGCCCAAATTGCAAAATGATGGAAGGGGCCCCAGATGCCCTGGCAGGTGATTCCTCGGATGTGTGTACTTACATGTCTTACATTGTTGCTTGCAGTTTTTTAACACCTTCCTTCATTTCGTATCTCGATTGCCTTTCTTGTATAATCAGCAGCAACTGTGCTGTTCAAATGTTTGTCTCCTAGGAGAAATCGCAAATAAACATTCAGTTAGTAGATACAGAAGACAAAAACTGAAAGGCTTCAGTGGCTTGGCTTCGGCTGTGACCAAAGAAGAGTATGGTACATTTTGCTCTGCCTTCTTTGTGAAAGAATGGAGACATGGTTATCAGGCAGTGAAGCTTTTACGCTTCAAGCAGTGATGCTGGAAAAACTTCCCTTTCAGAAACAAATCCCATGTTTATGGGTTTTGATGACTTAGTGATCTGATGAGAGGGAGAAGCTGGCCATCTGATGTTTATTGCTTCAGAAAAATTAGGCATGCACTAATGTGAATGAACTTCAATATGAGATTATGAGCTCTTGGAATCAGGGCAGAACAGATGAAAGGCGAAAGTTCAGCCTTTAATTAAAAGTTAATTGATGGTGTTATTGCAATGCCACTTTTTCAATATAGATTTGCTAAGGATGAAAGTGAACTGGCTATGCTTGAAGAACCTAGCACTGTTCCTGGCCCTTCCAGACTTTGTTTATTCAGCTCCTTCACTGCTGTGCTGTTCAGAGACAGTCCTTCTAAAATTAACCACTATCCTGTTTTTCTTGACTGAGTCACTTCTGCCCCCTTGACCATGATCTGTTGAGGCTGAAGAACTTGTCTTTATCACAGAGCTGCATCTATAAGCAGGCAGCTGGTGACTGTGGGATATGGGGTGGGACCAGCTCTCGAAGTGTTAGCAAAGCGAGCTGAAGGTGCTTGCACTGCTTACTATTAATTCTGTCTTCTTACCTCTTCTCAGCTTTGCTAGTCTTTAGTGGCAATTCTTCCATTCTTAACACCTGCTCAGATACTGCACCCAGATCTGAAATACTGCTTGCAGAAGTTAAAGGCACGGTGGAAGTAGAAGGTGTAGAAAAGGATAATTAAAGTTAATGAAAATATAAAATTGCTTTCATGTGAGGAAAGACTTTGCAGTCAATCAGTCTGGGAAAAAAGACAAATGAGCGAGATACATAAAACTGTGAAATGGGTGGGGGAAGAAGCATAAGGAGCAATTCTTCTTGATATGTGTGGTGAAGGGGATCCTGGAGACTAGGGAGAAGAGCATTAGCAACAGATGTGAACTCTTCTGCAGTTCAGATGTGGAGCTCACTGCTCTGGATGCTGATGAGCCTGGAAGAATTAAGGGGTTCAAACCAGGATGGAGTTATGGACAGGAGCTGTTTTACAAACTGTGTTTGTTCAGATGTAGGTCTTCTAGTTCAGGAAGTCCCTTGAGTGTTGACTAGTGGTGATGGATCAGCAAAAGGTTATGTATATGCTGTGCTTTGTACAGGTTTTCTCTGAGTACCTGTTCCTGACCCATGCTGGGGGTGGGAGACCAGCCTCAGCCACCCAAAGAAAGGGGTTCCCTGAGTCTGGGGGCTGCGCTAACAGTTACTTTTTTTCATAATACACTTCCAAACTGGTGCCACCTGGTGAAAAGTGGCAGCTTTCAACTTGTGCTCCTGCTGGTGGTATTTGTGGCTGCCACCTCCTTCAGGGGTGGTGACCCATGGTAGACAGCACACTGGGCTCTTGGCTTGTGACCCTGTGTGCCAGGGCACTGAAGGCAGCCTGGTCTGGAGACACGCATCTGGGACATGCCTTTTCATGATGGACAGCTGATCTGTGGTACTTTTGGCTGGATTCACAGGGAGCAGCCACATCCCAAGCATACTACAGTGCGGAGGAAAAGCCCAAAAGCCAGGACGTCATGTTTAGCCAAAGCAGGAGATGATAGCTGGGACAGCGAGGGCTGCACTTTCCAGGGAGGATGAACAGCCTGCTTGGGGAGCTGCTCTTGTCTCTCCAATGCTTTTTTGAGTTTATTCTGCATGTGCTACTGGAGGGGCTGCCTGCCTCATGATGTGCTTGAATGTGGGCTCAAACTTGCTTTGTTTAACCGTGCCTCCTTGCTTGTTTGTCGTGCTCCTCTCCTGCTGAGTCATGGCCACCAAGCTCTCTCATCTCTTCTTGAAAAAATACCACTTCTTGCTTTCTGCACCATTCTTCCTCTCTGAGAGCCTGGGGGTGAGGTAGGTTTGGGAACAGCAGAGGTTATACGGGGAAAGAGCCCTTTCCCATAGATACCCTCCTTTCAGCAGGCCTTTGCATTCAACCCGAAGAGGAATTAGTTGAATATTTGCCACCAGTTGGAGAATGGTCTTCTGTTGCAGGATGTGTCAGTTAGGTCTTCATGAAAGGTGTGCCGTTGAAGCCAGCTGGGTGGAATGGCAGCACGTCTCAGCAGGGAGGGAAGTGGCTGTGGCTACAGGGGCTGCCTGCTGCCCAGAACAGACTAAATGCTTTTGTAAATCTTGCAAGTCCAAGGAGACATGGGCTCAGTGACTGTAACTGGGAGATGAGCTGCTTTCCTGCAGTGTGGCCTGGGTGTAGATTGGTGTCTGACACAGATGTGTTGGGGAAGTGCATGCACTGCATGCCAAGGGAGGATCTTGACTCAGAGGGCAGTTTTGTGGCCTTTCTTTGAAAGACAAAGGCCTGCCTTTTTCCTTCTCTAATGACCAGACCTGGTTGAGACTGCACCTGTCTCTTCCTTTGCAACATAAATCAAAGGGATAGAAAAATGAGAACAAAGTCCCAAGAGACAGAGATATATTTTGCTGTCTTTGCCATCTCCAGTCTTTCAGTGTGTCAGCACCAGGTGTGAAAGGGAGGACATCTGTGGTTGTGTAGACCTCCTAGACACAAACCCACTCTCTGGGGCCAACAGCTATGAAATGAAACCTGTGATGACTCCTCAGGCCTCAACTTGCTGATGCAATATGTGAGTGCTGTGCTGTGATGTTGTCATAACAAGGTGTGTTAGTGCCCTTTGGAGATCACCTGAGAGGTGGGGCTGACCCATCTCACTGTAATCTACCGTTTACGAATCTGCCGGGAGAGTTTTAACAGCTTTAACAGTTTTAACCAGCACTAGAACTGGTTTTGTCAAGGAACTCTGAGTTTGGCTGCTTTTCAGAAATGCTGGGAGTTTAGAAAGCAAGTGGTTGAAAAATTACTCATTTTCAAGCTCTGCAAATAACTGTGGAAGTCAGGTGCCTCTGCATGAATGACAACGCATCTAGTTACTGAAATAGTTTATGATCTGTAGAATGAAATTTCCCCCAGCACATGAAGAGTTTCACTTCAACTTGCAGATGTGCATCTGAGACCAACAGCCCTCCCTACCTGTCATATATGTTTGTTGTCAGCCTGGGGGTTCATGTATCGTGGGTCTTGCTCTATCCCAGGGCTGCAGGTTTGCACGAAGCAGGTGGAACTAGTGGCTGGCAGAGCAAGGGCTCCTTTTCCAGGGCCAGTTGAATCTGCCGGGGACGTGAGGGTAGGAGAGCCTTGCAGGACAGGGCAGGCAGAGCGAGTTCAGGGCAGCCTGGGAGTCTCCCAGATGGGAGTGGGGAGCAGACAGGAAGCCAGCTCTGGGAGGGGATGGAGTTCCCATAGGGATCAAGGGATCCCTGTGGAGCTGGCTGCCCAGCCCATTGAGTTGCCAGCTTGAAACCAAGCCCTGAAGCCTACAAAAGGACACCGTGGGTGGGGGAACGCTGCTTATTAAAGGCCTTTTATCTCTCTTCTGCCTTCCCAAGTCACTTTGCATTGTCGCTGTTATAAAAGGGAATTGTTTTAGACTGTAGTCTAAAAAAGCAGAGTCTTTTACATTTCAAAGCCCTCTGGGTGTTCAGTTTAAAGCAGGTTAGTCCCAGTCTATGCGACAAACTTTCCAGTGAAGCCAGAATAGTTACACATCATATTCTGTTTTGCATTCAGAACTGTACGAATTTTCAGAGCTGGGAAAATTACACCCTGGCTGGGCCAGCACTGATTCCCCTCTGCTGTGCACTCTTAAGGCCTACATCTGGAGAGGTGCAGGGAGTACACTAACAGAAGTGTCTGCTTTCCAGGAGAGCACGCATTTGCATTCATTTTGATTTATTATTCTTCCAGGTGGGGTAAAAGTAAGCAGGCAAGTATCACCATCACCAGCTTGCCACCATGTCTCTCTTCTTAGGTGATTGACCTTTGCTCTTGGACAGATGTCTAGGATGCAAGGTGGGTCCTGGAGCTCCCCATACTTCTCCTGCTCCTGACAGGAGTACTGCTCCAATGTTAATAAAATCCCCAGCAGCCTTTCTAGCACATAATAGATACACCGACTCGACTTTGTAGTGGAGACTGTGACTGCAATATCCTGATGCAACACAGCCCCCATGTGACACAAGGCTCTCATTACTTCTTAGTGCACTTTGTGCTGGATTTTTAACAGTGAAGATGCCACCCAAACATGGCATTTTTTGGAGGGTCTGGAATGCTGATTGAATCCAGTGAGCAACTGGATTTGAAGACCATCGGAGAGAAACAGATAGCCTGCTGAAAGAAAAACTACATTTGTAATTTGTGTAATAAAAGTCTTTTTGCTTAAAAAAATAAAAGAAATGCTAGCTTAGGAGACTAAAGAATAAAAGCTATTCCCCGCTCCCCTGTATATAAGAAATGTCTTCTGAAAGAGATTCTGGATTTTTTTTTTTTTTTTAAAATGTGGAAGATTTGACTCGTTCGTAAGTGTTTCCCCTCTAAGTTTCATTCTGGTGTCTGAAACAAATACCATCTTTTAACTTCAGCAGTCTGACTGCTGCATTTTTTTTTGGTGGTATCATCAAGATGCCTTGCAGAGACAGTGAAAACCCATTCTCAGCAGGTAGAGACCACCCAGGGCATTTGAAGTACAGCAAGCAGAAAGAGGTCTCTTCCAAGCTGGCTTGACTTGGATCTTCCTTGAAAATGTCCTGTAATTCCATGGCTCACCTTATGTTTGATGATATTTGTTTTTTCCAGACAGGCAAGCTTGACCCACATTATCCCAAAATATGTGGGCACAAAGGGAATGTTCTGGACATCAAGTGGAACCCGTTTGATGACTTTGTAATAGCTTCATGTTCAGAAGATGCCACAGTAAGTTTATCAGCTTGTACTCTGCATTATTACCTGACTAATATGCTTTTTGGGGAAAGAAATAAAAAAAGAAACCAAAAGACCCATGAACGAGATGTGAAAGCGTATTATATACTTATAAAACCAGTCAGGTAAGAGTAAGATTACTTTCTTTATCTTGAGGTCAGACCTATGTGATCCTTTCCAGATGACATACCAAAATCAGTGTGAGGAGGAAGATCTGTTTTGTGGGTGTTTTTGTCTTTTAGGGTGTGTTTGCATGAGAACAGAATATGAATTTAAAATGGAATGACTATCCAAGTTTAATCGCAATGAAACTCTTCCTTTACTTTAGAATAAAAGCTTCAACACAATGTAATCTGGAACAGCTATTTCAGATTAATTCCCTGCAGTTTTGAAGTTTGAACTTCTTCCTGCACTCAATTGCTCTATAAAGTTGTGGTGGATCAGCAGTTATGGGGTAGCTGAGGAATCTGTGTCATACTGCAATAATTGGTTTGGCTGAAGTTAGTATAATTAAGATGCAGTCACATACTTTACTCCAGCGTAGATGCAGACTAGTTATTAGGAATTAAAAGATTCAGTTCATGTTTGCAAGGGACAGCGTAGCCTGTATCTACTCACTGAAAGGTTGCTTTCCGTGTCTTGTCGAAAGTGTGATGTTGACTTCTGTGATAGCGAGGACACGTGACTTACTACTGTGCTTTTTACCATATGTGTTTTCTCCCACTGGGTGTATTTACCCTCTGCTACACAGCATCAGGGAGGTTTCCCTTGTTGTTTCCTCCAGGCCTGGCTTGGTGCACGTCGTCTGCCATTTCAGCTTTGACAAAAATCACTCTTGAACTGGAAATCTAGGCTCTTTGAATTGTCCTTCCTGTTTAGTGACTTGCCTTTGCTTCTTTGGACATTCATGTCTTTTTTAAAGGCTTCTTTCAATTTCTGGGCTGCCTGTGAAGGTTTTATTTTATCTTCCAACCTGTATGCCAGGTTTTCATGCTGTGTTGGAAGGGACCTGTGGCAGGAAGGCACCACCATGACCTCTCTTTTGAGCCTCAGATAAGGAATAAGCACAAGCTTTGAAGCTTCCTGCTGCAGTTACAGTATCACAGAACCATTCTTGTTGAAAGGGTGCTTGGGCTGTCTCTGCCCCTACCTCCATCTTGAAAACCCCCAAGGATGGAGATTTTGTCTGCTGTCTGGGCGACCTATTCCTGTTCTTCACCAGTCCCATGGGGAAATTTGTTTCCTTATATGCAGTCAGAACCTTCCCAGTGTAGTTAGTGACCACTGTATCCCGTCCTCCCACTCTGCACTTGAAGACAGAACCTGGCTCTGTTTTCTCAGTAGTCTTGTCAGTATTGAAGTCTTCCATCACTTTGTCCTGAAGCTTTCTCTTCTTCAGGCTTAGCAAGCCCATCTCCACTAGTTTCTCCTCACATGGCAAACACTGCAGCCTCTTGAGCATCCTGGTGGCCTCCGCTGGAATAACTTAAATTTATTGGCATCTTTCTTGCACTGGTGTTGCAAAACTGGGTGCAGTATTCTAGCAGTTGTTTAAGGATTGCTGAGTAAAGGGGAAGATCACTTCCCTTGATCTAGTGACTATTTTCCTGTTGTTCCAGTCCAGGATGTTGCTAGCTTTCATCCCTTCCAGAGTGTGCTCCTGGGTTGTATTTATTTTATTTTCTGCCAGGGTCCTGGGGTCTATGCAGAAGCGCTGCTCTCTGTCTTTTCCAATTTCCTACTGAAACTTAGCACTGGATCGTTCTCCAGACTGAAGAGTGGAAACACCGAATTTGTCACTGGTCTTGGCACCAAGAGTTGTTCTAAGAAGTCTTGCTGTTTGTGACTGTACTCTCTTTTATGGTACTACCCTCGCATCATTATCCTGGCACCAGGAAATGGGATCTTAGGGGTCCCTTCACAGTGACACAGTGTACAGACACCTCTTCCCTCCCCACTAAATAGTGAGGACAGCAGACTGTGTTTCTTAGTGTGACTGTCTTTCCTGGTACCTGGTAGCTAGACCTGTGGAGGTCACTTAATCCAAGTCATGCTGAAAGCAGGCCAGTTGAATCAGGTTGCCTTAAGCCTTGTACAGATAGGTTGGGAAGATCTCCAAGACTGCAGATCCCGTGGCCTCACTGGGCCTTTCTTCCAGGGCCTCAGTACCCTTCTAGGGAAAATAGGGCTCCACTGATCTCCAGGGAGTGCTCATATTGACATTTGAGTCCATTGCCTTTGGCACTCTCCTTGTGCACCTCCAAAGAGTCTGGCTCCATCTTCTCTGTGCCTTCATGCAATGTAGTTGAAGCGCAGCCGGAAGATCTCACCTCACCTTTGCCTTCTCGCTGGTCTGAACAAATTCTTTTCTTTCCAGTTCTCCTTAGATTTGCTGTGCTCCCATCGTTTCCTTATCTCAGTGGCTGCTATTGGACTCACTCCATGGGGTCAACATCTGTCTTACTTGTCCTGGACATCTCCGATGTCCCGACAACACCTTCTCTGTCCTGAGAGAAGTCTGAGGAGGTTTTTGGGGTCTCAGAGGTGTCCGCCACTTCCACTGGGCTGGATATTAGAGCCAAAGCCTTCCCTGGAGTCTGTTGTTAAAGGTGCTCTCTGCCATTTGTGAGCATTGACATAAACCACTGGTTCTCACTTGTGTGCAAGGATGCATCTGATGGCTTTTACTGGGCTGGGTCTCCCTGGAGGTTTGGAGGAACGCCACAAGCTTTTGTGAAGATGGTGGAAATTTCCCATCAGGCACATTCCTCAGAGGTTTCTTGACCATTAACCAGCCTTTCTGGAGCTTGCCTTGGTGGTACCACAGCTGTCTTTTGCGGCGTATAGTTAAAGCCTATAGAGTGGTGCTTTTGAGCACAGGAGAGGATGGATAGTCTCTGTGAAAACCCAGCGCCGTTTCCAGTTCCCATTGCTGCTTCAGGCAAGCTTAGGACTGAGTCCAATGCAAGTGGCCAGGGGCTGAGAGTTTGAACAGCATGGGGAAAGGGCTTCTTCTCTGACCCTTCTGTCCTTTTGGCAAATCATCAGGTACATATGAATTCAGCTTGCTGAAGTTCTCCCTGGTGATTAGAGGGGCACCTCTGGGCCTTTTACTTTGTTTAGTCAGGTTTTCTTCAAGATGCAACAGGGTAGATGTTCATGGATTATTCCTGGCAGGTCTGGCTCCAAAACCCGCTTCTTCTGCATGCTAAGCACTGGCAATTTCTGCCATTTAATGCATCCTGAGATTCCAGCCAGGGGCTTTTCCTGCTTTTACCACCAGCCATTTCATAGCACAGTGAGTGAATGGTTCATTCTAGGCAGTTGTTCTTAGTGTGAGCACAACCTATTTTTCCCTTTCTTACTCTGTCTTCCTTTAGTGATAGCTGTTGAAGCTGATGAGTATGATGCTTTCTGTTACTGCTGTAGGAGTTCATTGGAAGGCTATTGGACCCCACAGTCCTTGGGTTTGTGATGGGCTTGATTCCTCAGTGGGATAAACACTGTTGAGAAGGGTGCTCGTGATCTTTCCCAGCAGGTCCCAGAATTTGTGCCTCTCCTTCTTTGGCTTAGAAAGGTGTGATCCTTATCAGCCAAACAGTGGGAGACTTGGGCAGGTGTAGCTAATTTCCATGAACGATCTGCTTCAAAGAGCATTTCCCTTTTGCTTCAGGCAAAGTCCTAGAAAAATTATGACAAGCATAGTAATTTTCATTGAGCCAAAGGGTCAGTCATCTGTTAGCATCCTAAATACTTGAGCTTCTAGGGTTCTTGTGAGAAAGACTCTTTCATTTTACCTGCATAAGTTCAGCCCCTTTTGCATGTTTCCTCTATTGTCTTCTTCCACCCCAGGAGGACAGAGAATTTTTGTGTTCATGCAGCATCCTTCTGGAAGAACCCAGGGCTGCAGGTAGACCTGTTAAGAGACAACATGCTCCCAGTCTTAGTGACTTCAGTGTGGTGCTGCCCAGTCTCTCTGCTCAGGGCATCTGCCATGTGGCCACCTGGGTGGGCTTCTGTGTACTTTGACAAATGGCTGTGTCATTTGCAAAGTGTTCGGCACCATCTGTGGGACAGACAGCACTGTAACTGTCATCTGACCAGGGGAGTTCTCAGTTCTTTTACCAGGTAGACTCTTTACCGTCTTTTACCTTGACTGCTTGGATCAATCACTGCTGTAATATCTTCTGTGACTCTTCGCTGAAGTTTATTTCAAATTTGCTTGTTCCTGCTCAAAGTTTGCTAGGAGGCAAGGTCTTCTTTGCTTTGGGAGTAACTTTTTGTAATTGTGCTGGCAGCTTGGCAGGTGTAAGGACTGGATTGCCAAGTTAAAACAAACTGGTAGAACTGCTGGCTAAAGATAGAGGGTAAAGAGCAGTCTTCAGGCCCACAGAAAAGTAAAGGATTGGAATTCAATAAAGCCAGGAGCTTCCTATTTGCTACCAAGATAATCGTAATACCAAGGGAATAATAGTTATTGATAAGTTCCAAATTAGCTCCTTACTCAGGAATCTCACAAAGACCCATCCTGTGCCGTTCAGGTTAAAATCTGGGACATCCCCAAGCACTTGCTAACAAGAAACATTACCAGTCCAAAGAAGGAACTTCTTGGGCATGTTCGAAGAGTGGGCCTCATCGAATGGCACCCCACTGCTAGTAACATCCTCTTCAGCTCTGGCTATGACTACAAGGTGAGTCTGTTCTCTGTGGAGCTCTCTTCCTGGGGCACCACTCTGTCTTAATTTAAAGCTGTAAGATAATACTAAAGAGTTCAGAAGCCTTCTTCAGGGTGGAATTCCATGGTGACCCCAAAGGCAAAAGGACATTGCTACAAGTTCAAAAGGACTTGCTAATTTTCCAGTCTTCTGATGAACTTCAGTCTACTCTGCCCTTCTTTACTGGATTGGATACAATATGCAATGCCCTGCACTTTTGTTTGGCTTCATTCTAGTGCTAGTGCAAATATCTGCACTGATGCTGGCCATTTTTATGTATAAAATGTGGTTGTAAAGGAAATTAGAATATTGTACATTCTGAGCAGACACTGTCCCTGATATAGCAGTAGACAGTATATAGTAGCAGGAATTATTTTAAATGTTGGAGAACAACCACTAATGATGGTAAGATCTATACATTTAGAGAAGAGAAGAAGAAGTGAATAGGATACAAAGTTCCCAGTTGGTCAGGCAGCAAAGGGCTGATTTTTTTGTTCTTTTACTCCAGATAATGATCTGGAACCTTGACACCAAGGAAGCTGTCATCTCAAACCCAGTGAAGATCCTTGACGCTCACAAAGATGTGGTCCTCTCCATGTCATTCAACACAGATGGCAGTCTCCTTGCTACAGCCTGCAGGGACAGAAAGATACGGCTTATAGACCCTCGTGCAGGAACAGTCCTACAAGTAGGTTGGGTTCAGAGGTTTGTGGTCTAGCTGATCTCACCACTTGGAGTGTTTCCGTTTCTGGGTAGATTCATTGCCATTAAAGAAGACACATCTGTGCCCTATGTTGCCCAAGGCACTGAATGGTGCTGTTGCCTTCTACTTTTCATGGAACACTTGCTGTAATTGTTGAAAAAAGTGTTTCTGCATCTTGCTATCATGCTCCTTGCTCCCTGAAACCCTTCTTGAAGTGCACTGGTTTCATAGCTCCCTCCTGCAGTCCTCTGTGGATGCCTTGGGAGGGCTTGTAGAGATCAGGTGGACAGTTAGATGCAAATACATTTGTCCCACTGTCAGGGTTGTTCTTGTTGCCTGTACTTTGTATTTGTTAGTAAGGTAAAGCTGACTGCATTTCCAAGGTATTTGCACAGATTTGTGTACATGGAAAGTCCTGCTGACAATTAATAGGGATTGCCCTCTTGCAAGTATGTGAATCAATTGGGCTTTTGGGAATGGTCCTGAAGAGTTTAGGCCACCTTTCTCAGATCCCCATGAAATCCTGCTCACTGTAGTTCAGCCAGGCTGAGCAGATCTTTCAGAAGTGACTGAATCAGAGGTCTCATGGAACATCAAATATAGCTATGGAACAGGTGCTGTCTCTTACTCATGCACTGTCCTTTCTTTTCCTATAGGAAGCCAGCTACAAGTCTCACAGAGTCAATAAAGTCTTGTTCCTTGGAAACATGAAAAAGCTGTTCTCTACTGGAACATCTCGGTGGAATAATAGGCAAATTGCATTATGGGATCAAGTGAGTTGGACCAGTAATCTTAACCATAGTGGCTTCAATTTTCTCTCTTTTGCTGTCACTTTAACTTTTCCACCTGCCAAATACCCAAGAATTGATTTACAACAGCAGTTCAGAAATGATCTGTCAAATTCTTAATGGGTGATAGGTCTTACTGCTATGGCTCTCTTAACTGGGTATAAGTTTCTGAAGAAGCTTTCAAAGCTTTCAGCATGGAAATCCAGCAGAACAAAGAGAATGCAGTGCCCACTACAGGAAGAAATCGTTCAAAGGACCTTTGGGCGGTCACTAGCTCTGACTTAAAAGCAGCTTTTACTGGTCTTACTGGCAAATTGTTACTGGTACTGGAAAAAGAAATGAACTCTAGATACAGCCTACTCTGGTGAAGCCCTCAATGGAGAAAAAGATGTGGGGTGGTTTTGATTTCTGATAATTCCTGATGGTAGAGTACTGAAGTAGCGCTTATTTGTCACTTCAAAATACATGATCTCCTGTCATAACGACTGCTGGCCTTATGAAACCCTGCTGTCCTCTACCTTCCTCATATTCAGTGAGATGCTTTTCCTTTGTCAGCATCTCACCTTGTCATTCCCCATCAATCACCTTGCAGCACAATCTTTTGCCTCTTTGTTGTGCTGTCACCCTTTGCACCAGACAAAGATGATAGACCAGGTCTATAATTTGCCATTTGGCTATGTTTGGACATGGCTTCTTTGCATATATGAGAGGCAAAGCATTGTGCTGCTGTCTGAAGGCTTTCCACAAACCTGAGCAGTGCTCTGACACATCATGGGTCTCACATCAGGGTTTCACTGCCTTCAGAGCTGCTGGAGGAGCTGGCCACACTTAGTTTGAGAACACAGTGGGAAGACCTGTGAGGCCAGGTGTGTGCAGCCTCCTTGGGGACAGGCATTGGCACAGGACCTGCCCAGCAGGCATCTTTCTGAGATCCACGTCCACCCATGTCCTCATCACATCTAAAGAGAAGCTCTGGCTTTCTGGAGCCTGCAGCTGGGCGGTTCTGCAGGACAAATTATATATTAACTCTGTGCTAAATATATTTTTATGTGCCAGTAGCCACGATGACAGTTGTGGGATGCCATACTCTGCCCCATTGGTCCTCCTGACATTGCTCGCTTCACCAGTGCAGAGATAGCTTTGTATAAGACGGGCCAGCCTTGTCTATGGAGTGGTGTGCTGTATCTTCCTACATGGCTTACCTGCAGAAGGCTGATGGTAGCTTTTACCCTTGCAATGGGTGCCTTCCCACTGTGCAGTGTGGAGACTGTTCGACTGATGTAGGCTGTTCTTGTGGTGGGTGGTGCACTATTGTGGAAGTCTTGCGTTGACTAGAGGTAGTGAGGAAACACGAATAATTCAGTGTGCAATGCAGACGTGCCCCAAAGGCCCCTCCATCTCCCTGAGTCTGTCAGCCCACGCAGAGGCAGGCAGTGTTTCTTATCATATCTATCCCTGAAATATCGTCAGGTGCCTGAGATGTTCTGGTGGTAGGAACTGATGTCCTGAGGTGCTGCACTCAGTCAAGAGTCAGGGACAGAGCACCCATTTCCCACCCACATAGCTTTGAAGAAGTCTGTACATGGCCCTCTGCTCAGGGCAGCTGGCCATGGCCTAGGATCATTATAGAGCTGTGTGCACATGCTGCTGCCAGATGGGGTTCAGATAAGGTGTCCCTGACTTGAGGTGACTGTCAGCTGACTTGAGGTGACTGTCAGGTGATCACAGCTGTCTGTTTTTCCTGTGTCCTGCTCAGAATGACCTTTCTGTGCCTTTACTGGAGGAGGATCTGGATGGCTCCTCAGGACTTCTGTTTCCCTTCTATGACTCAGACACACACATGCTTTATGTGGTGGGAAAGGTAAGTGCTTTCCATGTTGGCAAATGCTGGCTGTCTGATTCTTCTCCTGGCCTGTGTTGCATCAGGCTGAAGTCAAAGGTGGTACTGAAGCATGTTAACTTAAGGGTATGGGCTGAGGGTGCTCCAGCATCGGGACACATTCGCCACTGCAGTAACATGTTTACTGTGGGGAGGTACACTGCACAGCCCTAACCTTCCCACACAGGAATTTGGGGGTAAATATTTGGTTCATTCTTGACCTTGTATGGCTTCTGGGGCCAACCATTCTTCTCAGACCCTCATGCTGAACAGCAGAGCCTGGCTTATGTTAATTTTCTTTGCCTTTAGGGTGATGGAAATATACGGTACTATGAGATAAGCCCTGAGAAACCATACCTGAACTACTTGATGGAATATCGTTCTCATTTACCACAGAAGGGAATTGGTGAGTGGCCGCATATATCTAACGTTACAAGAGGATGGTGGCTTCTTTGTTTAAGAGGCTATCAGAGTCCAGGACTATCCAAAACATCATTTAGAAAAGAGAGTGGGTCAGATTCCAGTCTCCACCCAGGTTTACAGGTGCACAACAGTCATTTTGCCCAGCTCACCTGTATATCACAGGTGTTATTACAGGGTCACAGCTTGGAGGGGTCCCTTCTGGCCAGCAGAGCATGGGCTGGGCAGCTTTACCAGTCACTGCTGCATCTTCTCTCACATACCTGGTCAAAGTGGAAGGGAGGTTAGCCTGCATATAAAGATGGAGCATGCTCCTTGCCCTTCGTGGATCTGCTCCAAGATTTTTGGCATTGAACTCTGTTACTGTTTCCGCTTTGTGATTTCTCTGGTAATGGGTGCTCCACATCTTAATGCCTTCACTCTTATAACTTGCCTACCTTCTCCTGGATTGGCACTTCCCATTTAGAGATAGACCTGCTGTGATTAGGTCACCTCTCCTCCACTGGAGACTCTTGCTTGTTGACCTGTCCTCATACTACCCGCTGTTTAACTGATTCAAACTACAGAATTTGGCTTTCAGCCCTCAGACCCTATTGGTAGCCTTTTCTTGAACCTTCTCCAGTCTACCCTGTAAGCCATATTCCTCTATAGACTGATGTGTTTTTAGGACCACTTGCCACCCCTCCTCACTACCTGTGGACACTGCCATTCTTCTGTGACATTGGTACAGATACTTAGCAGCATTGGATTTTGTGCCTGCCAGTCTCATTCAAAAAGCTGTTATTGGAAAGGAATAAATGTAAACTTAACTGGAAAAAATCTCTGTTAGTCAGCTTTTATAATCCTTCTAATGTACAGCATCCTGATTTTATATTGTAATAGTCTCTTTAAAAATCATTCCATGAAATAGAAATGTACAAGTGTTTTTAAAAGGCCTGAGTGAATCAAATCTACTTCTTTAACCTGATCTGTTCTGCCGGTCAAACATACTGCTGAGATTATTGCACAAAAGCTCCTTTCCCAATATTGGCAAAACAAAATGCAGTGTAGAGGACTGGAGTTTAGATTCACATTTAGATGAATGCATAATGTAAAGAGCAACAGTCCTTCACATAGAATCTACAGTTTAATGAAGTCATTTGGTATTAGTAGAAAACAAAGCTGCTGTAGGACACCATGAAGCAAGGTTTACAAGGAGAGACAATCTCTTTTCATTAAGGGAATTAACACAGTTTAAGGCTTTGGACTGTGCAAGCTCATGGAAGAGAAATCTTTTGAGGTTACCAGGTACTTAAGAGACCTTGTGTGGCTTATCCAGTCACTGAAACACAAATGGTGCTGTCTGACGGTAGATATTCACACCCTTCTCATACTCCATTCTGCTTTGGGACAGTGTTGGTGGGAGGATACTGGGCTGGAAGCGCTTTCAGCCTGACCCATATAGATATTGTGATGTTGTTCATGTGTCCTCAAATCCCTTCCTGGTGATCCTGATAGTCAAATCCTGTGGTATCACCTGCCAGTTCTACTTAGGTGTGGTCAATCTATTTGCTGCTCATAAGAATAAATAAGGAACAGGAGGCTTAGCACAAAAACCACAGACCCTGTAACTCCGTGGTCTGACAGAAAAAAAATTATTTAGTCTTGTCATTTGTGCCACTGAGCCAGTTTTCGGTGCCGATTGCAGACGGTGATGCTCCAGAGCTGATACTGTGATTCCTTTTGTTGTTTGGTGACCCTTTTTCTATGGCGCATGACATTAACTTTCCTAGGGAGATTTATACCCCATTTGTTTCATTGGATCCCACCAGGAATGATGCCAAAGAGAGGCCTTGAAGTGTCAGCTTGTGAGATTTTCCGTTTCTACAAACTGATCCCAACTAAAAGCCTGATTGAGCCCATATCCATGATTGTGCCTCGACGGGTAAGTTAACCTCAGGTCACGTTCATGTCTGGGACAAATATCAGTGAAAAAGAGGGCAGTGCCTCCTCTCTGAGGTTCTTGGGAGCAGGAGAGTAGGTAGAACAACAGATTTTTCTCTTTCCTGGTCTGAGGCACAAAGCTAGTCAGTTTGTGGGGGCAGCCCTGCCAACTAGCCGTGGCTGCTTAACTCCAGAGTTAGGTCTCTGTGTAATGGCCAGCTTTCTAAGATGTACTTAGAGGTCTGCTCTGCTTGGGTGCAATAAGGAGTCTCTCTGACTGTTAGGTCAACTAGCTGGCTGTAAACTTCCCTCAGTTGGTATCATCTGTTTGACATAATGACAAAAGAGAGAAAGGGTTTGGGGATGATGTGGGGTGACATGAAAGTCTCCTTGTGGAATGAAGAAGAATCACCTGGGAAAAAGGGAACAATGGGTTCCCAGTTCTGTACCCAGTGGGTGCAGTTGTGTTACAGACAGCTGTTCTGCAGCATATAAGACATGACCCATTGCACTCAGAGTGGTGTAGAAGTAAGTGTCAGAGCTGGTGTGGCTAGAGAATGACCCAGGTCACGATCTGTAGCTAGCCAAGGTAGCTCCCATGTGAGCTAAGGTATGTTGAAAATGTCAGCACTATGCCCCTGTACTTCCAGAAACATTGGAAGGTATGAGTTCCTTGAATTCAGAGAAGCAGCAGAGTTAATGCTCATTGCAACTACCAATCAGGCATGTTCCTCCAATGTTATCTCCTTGGCCAATTTCTGTCAGCTGATGATCAGCTGATGATTTGTGACTTGTGTCCATTCTTCGTATCCACTTCTTCATCCTCCGAAATGCTGAGTTCATGAGAGCTGGTTTAGCCTGTGTCACCAACCTCCCTGAGTCTGTTCTCTGGATATATAAAGACCTTACTGGCCTATAAAATAGGCCTTCAGATGCAGTTCTTCTGACTTGGGGAGAGGAGAAGGGGCTCAGGGCAGGTGAGATTTTAGGTCCGTGACGGTGTGTGGTCATGACATGCCCTGTGCTGAGGTGGAACAAACTTCTTTCTCCACTTTCTCCACAATCCAGTATGGTCCCTCTAAGCCAAACTGACATAGTGACTCTGGACTTTTGTTTGCTTACAGTCAGAGTCATACCAGGAAGACATCTACCCATTGACCACAGGAGCCCAGCCAGCACTGACAGCACAAGAGTGGCTGAACGGAGTTAACAAAGGTCAGCACATGGAGAGCTCCCCAGCCCTTCACATCCCCAGGGCTTGGGTAAGCTGCAGCTGGCTCTCTGGCCTGTTAACTGCCAGAGAAAGAAGGGAGGAAAAGGGGAGACATAACAAATATATCTGTAAGCTAAAATAATTTGATGGCTAAAGTTTTCACCACTGTGAACTCTGGAAGCCGCTCCAGTCAAGTGCCTCCTTGTTTATCCCTGCAGGTTGTTTGAATGAATTGCTTACAGCTGATTTCTGAGTGTGGTTTGTGAGTGCTAATCCATCACCTGCATCCCTCCCTAGGGCCTCTCTTGGTATCCTTGAGACCAGGCTCTGGAGCTGTGAATTCCTTACCACAGTTTCTTGAGCCAGAGCCACTCATGAAAACTACTGACCTAAGCCAGCACCAGGGTCGGGGAGGAAGCATGCCACTGGAGGACATGCAGAAGCCAAGTGAAGTTGAAGACAGCAGAAGACAGCTGAAAGTGGAGGAGAAATTGCCGAAAAATGAGCAAATGTGCCTCTCCAATGGCTTTGACGTATTTGAGTGTCCACCACCAAAAACTGAAAATGAGGTGTGAATGTCTGGGGTGAAGGGTTGGGCTTGTGGGAAGGAAGCCCTGAGTCAGTTGGCAAAAGGGTGATGTTCACAAGGAGACAGAATCTGAGGAGGATTTATTTTGCAGACCTGGACCAGTGCGAGCCCTTCATTCTTTGTGGGGGCAGAAGCCACACAGGAAGCAGAAATGTGGCCCAGCACCCCTGCTGAGGGGGTCTGGAAAGGAGGAAGCAGTCAGTATTCCTGCTTCTTAGGCATTCTGGTGGCTGGCTGAGGACAAGGAGGTCCTTGTGACCTCCAGGTTCTGGAGAAGAGAAGGAGGTTTATGCAGTGTAACCCTTCTATGAGAGCTGCACTCAGCCTGGTGAGGCAGCAGGGATGCCTATGGAAGCAGTGGGTATACCCTGCTCCCTTGGCCCATGGTGCATCCCTGTAGCCTTAAGTACCTAACTGTATTGTGGACCCTGACATGGGAAAGGGGCTGGCTCTGCCCTTGCCTCAGCAGCTCACTGCTGGTGACAGACAGGCAGTGAAGTGCCACTGAGGCTGGATGCTGGTCGCAGCCTGCTCCTGGGAATGGCTCCAGAACAGGTCCTGGCGGCTCCATGATCTGTCTTCAGCCATGGCCAACTCACTCCCTGTATAGTAACCAAAGCTTGTACAATGGTAGATCTCTGTGGTAATTTGCAAGCCCCCCGTCACTGGCAGCTTAGAGACATTTTCAAGTACATGCAGCTTGTTTTCAGTTAGGAACCATGGAAGGATTTCCTTCGCATAGCTATGCTCAGGTTCCCTTTTTGGCTCTGCCAGATTTTAGCATCTGCAGCTTGATGGCCAGGAATTTCCACAGCTGAATTTCCCTGTGGTGTGAAAAAGGATATTCTTCTGCATGTTTCTGAGCTGGCGCTTCGAGGCTACAGAGGCAGCCCTTGCAGAGCTGGGTGCTCTGCTGCATGCGCAGTGAAAGGACATGCTAGTCGCAACTGGAGAGCACAGAGCATGATCAACAGGAAAAAAGAGGAGAAGGACTTGCCACAGGTCAGAGTAGTAGATGTGGCAGATCCAAGAATTTAGATTTCAAATACCCTCTGTGTCTAGACTCTCTTTGAGCGATCAGTGTTATGAAGTTTTTTTTTTTTTCTTTTGCTTTGAATTAAGCAGATGCAGCATTATTAAATGGTGCTGAGAAACACCCACACTCATAGCCCAGGACAGCAGACAGCAGGAGCAGGGCTGATGCTCAGTCTGTTGGTTGAAGGCCTCCTCCTTAGATGTTGTTTCTCTCAGAAGTGATGTGACAGGACTGGTGGTGTTTTACAGGTCAAGTCTGCTTTTTCTTAGTGCAGAGGAAGTAAAATATGACTTTTCTTACAGCTTTTGCAGATGTTTTACCGCCAACAGGAAGAAATCCGTAGACTACGTGAGCTGGTAAACCAGAGGGATGTCCAAATTAAACAGCTGGAGCTGGAGCTCAGAAACCTCTGCGTGGACACAGGCAGTTACTGAGGGTGCTGGCCTGCAGCTCTTTGCACCCCTGGCAACTGGACCAGACTCCAGTTCCTGCGGATAACTCCTCCTAGGGTTTTTGCTGGGGGAAAAATTGATGCTTCAGGCAGCATGGACTTTCCTGGCTTGTGGTGGTCACATTTCTTTAATCATCACCAGACAGTTATTGATGGACTTGCTGCACTTCTTCAGGCCCCCCTTGCTTGCTTGCTCACTCATGTCAAAAGCTCATGCATTAATGCTAATGAGAGACTTTGGAAAATCTTGCTCTTCTGGTCCTGGAGAAGCCACTTATTAAGCTCTAGGAACAACCTGTTTTGCTGCCGTCCACAAGCATGACATGAGGATCAGAGACTGAAGGCAGCTGCCAGCTTCTTTTCTCACTCTGGATCGCCCAGTGCAACACCTGTGGCTGGTGTCCTCCTGCCCTGGGAGACCACTCTGCAGCTGAGCTTCAGAGGCACCTCTAGTTCCAAAGTGATCCTCATGCTCCCCTCTCACTTCATGACTTGGCCCTTGCAGCCAGGTGGCTAGGCAAAGCCATGGCTGCCCTGACCTGGTGCTGGGGATAGTCCTGCTCTGAGCGGGAGGCTGCACTGGGGCTGCCAAGGGCCAGCACTTTTGTAATAGGTAAAGGAGAGTTGGTGTTTGGAGGTCCTACTTTAAAGAGGTGGTGGTGTGGGCTTTCACCAGAGGATCTGCAGGTGCAGCAGAGGTCTCTGGGTCCTTTGAGTCAGTGGCCTTCTTTCCCTCTTTCTGCCAAAGACCAGCTGCAGTCAGCTGGGGGCTGTGGTCGTGCAGTGCTTATCAGACAAACGAGGACAACATTTAAAGCTGCACAGTGTTGGCGGCAGCGGGTTTGCCAAGAGGGATTAAAAGGATGAAGGGGGAGTTGGACCCCCACCCTGCTGCAGAGCTTTCAGCAATGGTGCTAGAAGTGTGTTGTCAACCATAGGAGGGTCATAGGACCGTGGCCAGGCATGAACAGCCCTCCTCAGTTGCTGGAGTATTCCTTGTCCTTGTGCCTGCAGCTCTTGCTTCCTTAGCTACCAGGTGCCAGCACCGTGTCCCATGCCTGCAGCCACCTACAGCTGCAGGCTCCCTCTTCCCAGTTGCCCAGTCCCCTGCATCCTCCAGGGCTGCCCTGTCTCCCCAAGCGCTGCAGCCACACTCGTCTGTGCCCTTCAGCACCAGCTCTCTAGCTTGCTGCCTTCCTCAGCCCTTCACTTAGGGCAAGAGCAGCTGCAGGATGCAGGTCCCATCCTTGGTTTCAGGGCTGGCACCTGTAACCAGCTTTATGCAGTGTGCTCACAATGTGCAGAGTTGGGCCAGTGGCAGCACCGAGGGAGTGCACAGACCTGCCTGCCTCATCGGTGCCCACGGGGCTTCTTTCATTTTTCTTGTTGTGTGGGGCAAGAGCATGCATTGTCAATCACCCCAGGGTCTAAGCAGAGCAGCAGCACCAGAGGGGAAGCATTTTTCCTTACCCCAAATGCAGAGCTTATGGAGATGTCTTAAACCCAGGCAAAGCAAGCAACCGCTGTTTAACCTGTGACTGTGCGCCTCTGTTGTGACACATGTAGGTATGAATACTGTGCCCTGCTAGTTCCTTGAAGCCTAATGATTTCCTAAAGTCTAAAAAAAAAATAAAATCTCTTTCTACTCCTTAGTCAGAAATTTCCACAAACACGTCTCCTTAGCAAGGGGATTAAATGCTGTGCACTGCCAGTGTGAGTTGCCCCTGTGGTTATCCCTGAAAGCAATAGCCAGCAGGGATTTCATGGGCACTAAATACTTTTATATGAGAATCACACAGACTTTGGCATCCCTTTTGCTCTGCTGCAAAGACTTCACCCAGCTTTCAAAAATATCTCATTCATTTCTAAATAGCAACAACAGACGTGGGTGCTAAAAGTCACAAATATTGTTGTTTTTTCTGCAGTGTTACAGAGAGGGGGTAGTTCATGTTCTTCAGGAAGAGTCCTTTAGCATCAGTCACTTACTTAACGCTACTCTTTTTGTAAAAAATAATATATTAATAACAAAGTTGTTGAAACAAACTTCAGCTCATTTCAGATCCTCTAGAACGGGCTTTCCTGTGCCCTGGGAACACTCTGCAGTATGCAGTTATATGCAAAAGCAGCTCACCCCAGATACAGAGCTTTAATCCGAACACATGAATCTTACATCAGAAGTGGTCAGGCTTTCTCACCAAAGAGAAGAGCTATGTAAGAAATCGAGGAGCTCACAGTTTTTCAGCCATGTCAAACACTCCTGACAGCTTCAAACGTCAAAGCCATTTTCACAGAGTGTAGCCCCAGGAATATAACACTGGTTTTCAAGCTAGCATTATCAGAAGGGAGAGCACTTGACACAGCTTCCACAGTCCAGGGGATATGACACTTTCCTTGTCACCATATGTGTTTTATTTGCTGGATTTTTTTTTGCTTATTTTTCGTACAGAATAAATTATTTAAATTATTTCCAAGTTAAAGTAATTTTTCCGGGGGATTTTTAAATCCTCTTGAGGACTGTTTCTTTGTTGTCCTCTGACTGACTAGCATAGAAAATAGTCGGCCACCATGGTTTTTATCTTAGGGTTGTGTTGATTTCAGCATTTCTTGAAAAGAAGTTGCTTTTATTTAGGCTTTGCTGGCAACATTTGATAAGGCGAGACTATTTAATCAAAACTTCTTTTTTAGACAGTATGCCCATAAAAGCGTAGACTGTGAAATGTATTTCAATTTGGAGCTTAAATGCAGCCATAAATTTTTCACACAGAGAAAAAAAGCGGAGGAAATGGAGTTATGTGTTAATGAACTGTGCCTAAATAGACAAGTGATCATTTTAACAGTTTCTAAAACTCCTAACAGCTTTGTAAAAAACTGTAAAACATGGGGATAAAAAACAAATTTGTGCAATGAAAAACAAATGTAACTGAATAATAAATATATTTAGAGTTTTACTTTTTGATACATGCATGGTTGTTGTTTTTTTTATTATCATTGTATCATTGAAGTGGCTGAAAATTAAGCTGAATCAAGGTCAGAAAGGAGTATCACCTGCTGTCTCTTTTGCTTGCATGAAGTTGTGGCCGTGTAGACACGTTGTACACGGTCTTATGCACATGGGCCTGTCTTCTTACATCTTTCCCTTTTTCACTACCCTTGATGCTGCACAGGGGTGGTAATTTCAAACTGTTCTGTGTTACACTGCTGTGTATGTGGTCTTGAGTAAACCAAGCACCCCTGGAGATGCCTACCAGGTGGTGAGTTGTTTCCTGACCATGCTGCCTTGCAGTCCCAGTGCTTCTCTTATCCAGTACTCTCTGACGAGGATCTTTTAGGTATTGCATCTGAGGAGTATTTAATGTGTTATTACCAAGTTTGCTTATTTGAAGACATTTGGTGTTAGATGGGGTTTTGATTTAGCTGAGTGAAGCAGCAGTCGCAACACAAGCACAATAGAGCAGGTGCAACATCTGGCTGGATCATAATACAAATGAAATTCCCATTACTGGTCTCTGTATGCTCATTGTCACGATGCTGGGTATCTCCAGTCACCAGGAAAAAATATGTGGGTTGAAGCCAGCTCAAGCCCATAGTGCTTTTCAAGGTTTGTTTTGCGGGTTGCTCAGTTTTTATGCTTTATGTTGGGCTGAGCCCCATGCTGGTCTGGTTGGCTCAGGAAGACATTCATACCTTTTGATTAACTCAGGCCACCTACACAACCAGTTGATCACTCAATTGATATGGCAATTAATCTAAAACAAAAAGCACCCTCTTGTCCCTTTTTCATTGAGGTAAGTTCAGCTTTCTTTACAACATCTGTGGTTGCTCCTTGTATTCTTCCCTGAGCATCATGAATGCATTGCTTGTGTCCATCTCCTCTGAGCCTCCTTCCACTCTAGGGGTTTGCTGGTCAGTCACAGCTTTGGGCATGGAAATGTTCATGGCTGTATTCAGGATGTAACTTTTGTTTGATATAATATATTTTAGGCCATTGTTAGGGGGAAAAAAAAGGGGGAAATTGCTGGAGAAAGTCTGTACTGGAACTTTGTGCACCAGCCATGCAGTCAGGGCACTGTGACCTTCTGGCCTCCCTGTCTTGTAAGGGACCTTGTGCTGGAGAGGGTGGTCAGGCAGGCACTGCCCTGGGACCCGTCCCAGGTCACTGTGTCCCTCCTCTGGTGCTGACATAGGCTTGTTACTCTGAGCAAAGCCTAGGAAAGGGGAGCAGTGGGCAGGCCAGTGTGAGAGGCAGAGAAGTAGCTTCCAACACCTTTGTTGTCCTGGGGTTAGGGCTGCTGGACCACAAAGAGCAAAACACAGTGTTGCTTGGTGGATTTAGAGCCACAAAATGTCACATCTTCACGTTCTACTCCAGACCAGCTGCCAACTACAAAATAAAGTCCACTCAAACCTACGCAATGTTGTCATTCTTATTTTGCTTCCCACCCCTGGGGTCTGTACCATTGATGTGTGTCATGGAGGCACCCACACAACAAGCAGAACAGTCACTCGAACACCCCTACAGACCTGAGCAAACTGCAGGTGCAGATGCCAGGCAGAGGTGCTCACAGAACAGAGCAACTACTCCAAAAATGGGGATTTATTCCAGCTACAGTTAGGCAGCACTCCAACAGACAAAAATAAGGTTTGGATGTCAGCTGGGAATACTACACAGCTGTCTTAAGACTTTCTAAGTTATTCAAACAGGCCTGTTAGGAAAACAATCCAAAATTGTTCACCCACGAAAGGGGGAAAAATCGCTCACTCAAGGGTGTGGTACCCAGAGGCTATAATCACTCACTCAAAAGGGTGAGGGCTTACTCAAGGATATATCCAGCAGAAATCACTCAGTCAAGATGGGGGGTGAGGCACTCAACCCTGGGAGTTTCCTCAGGTGGTGTCCTGACCCAAGGGCAGAGTCCCCGACTGCAGAGCCGCTGCTCCAAGGAGGACCAACCCAAATCGGCCCTCCGGCGGGGCCTCATTTAT